GTAGCGGGGTCCGTAGAGGAAGGGGACGCGGAAGTAGAAGAGCAGGTAGATGAGCAGCGGCCCCGCGTACTCCGTCAGGAAGACCTGCGGACGGACGGACGGATGGACAGACGGATGGACGGGGGGGCCACAGAGGGACAGGGGGATGCACAGAGGGACAAGGGTGACGCGGAGAGAGGCAGGGACAGACAGAGGGGTGGGGGGGGCAGGGATGGACACAGGGACGGAGGGATGGGGGGCTGGAGGGACAGAGGGATGGACAGAAGGACATGGGGACACACAGGAGGAGGCAGGGATGGACAGACGGACAGAGGGATCGGGGTGTGAGGGACAGAGGAGCGGATGGAGGGGGACAGGGATGGACAGAGGGCTGGAAGGACAGAGAGACAGACAGAGGGCTGGAGGGAGGGACAGAGGGAGGGACGCAGGGACGGACAGACAGGCAGAGGAACAGAGGGAGGGACAGACAAACAGACAGAGGGACATGGGTACAGACAGAGCAGCAGACGGAGGGCTGGAGGGACAGAGAGACGGACAAAGGGGCAGGCAGAGGGAGGGACAGACGGATGGAGGGCTGGAAGTGCACAGGGACAGAGGAGCAGAAAGAGGGATGGACAGAGGGACAGACGGAGGGACACACGGACAGACAGGAGTGGACAGAAGGACGGACAGAGGGACTCAGGGACAGTGGAGGGCTCAGCTGAGGGATGGAAGGCTGGACGCACAGGAGAGGTGACAGTACAGGGGGATGGACAGAGGGACAGAGGCACTAAGGGGGGGACAGACGGACGGAGAGCAGGCTGGGGGGATGGACAGAGGGACAGAGGCACTAAGGGGGGGACAGACGGACAGAGAGTGGGCTGGGGAGGGCAGGCGGGTAAACTGGGGGATGGCGAGAGGGAGGGAGGGCCGGGGGGATGGAAGGATGGACAGAGGGACAGCTGGGGGGGCCAGATGGAGGGACGGCCGGAGGGACGGACAGACGGACGCCTCACCGTCACCCAGCTGATCTGGGCCCCCAGGTCGCGGAAGTAGAAGGTGGCGGTGGTGCCCACGGGCAGGCTCTGCAGCACGTCCTCGTCCTTCAGGGACCTGCCCTCTGCGGGGACACGCGCCCTGGTGACCGCCACCCCCGCGGGATCGGGGACACCCTGGGGACAACCCGGGGACATCCCGGGGACACCCCACCCCCGCGGTGGCACTCACTGGGGTCCAGGCGCAGGGACTGTCTGGCCGGGTACCACTGGGGATCTGCGGGAGAGAAGGAACGGTGTTGGGGACACTGCAGGGACACGGCCGCGGCGGGGACAGCGATGGCACCGAGATGGGGCCCTTGTCACGAGGGGGGTCCCCAGGGTGCTACAACGGGTCCCTTGTCACAGTGATGGTCTCCACGGCCCTGTGACGTGCCCCTTGTCACGATGAGAGTCCCCAAGACCCTGTGACAGGTCTCTGGTCATGACGAGGGTTCCCCATGGCCCCGTGACGGGTCCCTGGTCATGATGGTGACCACGATGGCCCTGTGACAGGTCCCCAGCCACAACGAGGGTCCCCACGGCCCTGTGATAGGTCCCTTGTCACGACGGGGGTCCCCAAGGCCCCGTGACTGGTGCCCAGCCACGATGAGGTCCCCAAGGCCCTGTGACGGGTCCCTGGCCACAATGAGGGTCCCCAAGGCCCCGTGACGGGTCCCTGGTCGTGATGTTGACCATGACGGCCCTGTGACAGGTCCTCAGCCACAACGAGGGTCCCCACGGCCCTGTGACGGGTCCCCTGTCACGATGGGGGTCACCACGGCCCCATGACGGGTCCCCAACCACAATGGAGACCACGCTGGCCCTGTGACAGGTCCTCGGTTGCAACAAGGGTCCCCACCACGCCATGACGGGGTCCCCATGGCCCCGTGACAGGTCCCCAGCCACAATGGAGCCCACGATGGCCCTGCGATGGGTCCCTGGTCACTACGGGGACCACAATGTCCCCATGAAGGGTCCCCAGCCATGACAGGGGTCTCCATGGCCGCAGGACAGGTCCCCAGCCACCATGAGGGTCCCCACGGCCCCGTGACGGGTCCCCAGCCACAACGGAGCCCAGGATGGCCCTGCGATGAGTCCCTGGCCACAATGGTGACCACAATGGTCCCATGACAGGATGACAGGTCCCCAGCCACCACGAGGGTCCCCACCACCCCGCGGAGGGTCCCCAGCTGCCACAAGGGTCCCCAGCGGAGGGTCCTCGTCTCCGTCCGTACGTACGGGTCTTGGTGAAGAGGCTCTTGATCTCGGCGATGGTGGCGTTGGGCTCCACCTGCGGGCAAGCGAGAAGCCGTCGGGGGGCTGCTGGGGCGCCCGTGCCTCAGTTTCCCCTTCCCCCAGCCCCCCACCCAGGGGGACAGGGGACAAGGGGGAGGGGACACGTGTGTCCCCCCTCCTCCAGGTACCTTATCGAGGAAGCAGAGCTTCTCCCGTGTCCGGGCATCCAGGATCTCCACCTCGAAGAAGAGGACGGCTTTCTTCGTCTTCTTGGTGGGGGGAGCCTGGCGCCACAGCCCCAGGATGGGGGACGGGGACACCTGGCCCCCCTCGCGGGGCAACCCCGTTCCCTCCATGTCACCAGCCCCTGGGGACACCGCGGGGACGCCGGTGCGCCCAGCCGAAACCCGATCGGTCCCCGGGGAGCTGCTAAATATAAACCTCCCCCCCCCCACCTCGGGGTGGCTCTTGGCCCCGGTGGCCCTGGAGGTGGCCCCGCAGGTGGCCACGGGAGGGACAGGGAGCGGTGGCCAGTGGGGACAGAGGGGACAGGAGCACAGCGCAGGTGGGAGGTAAGGCTGGCCCCCCCCGCCCCGACACCCCTAGGTCCCCAAGGGCCTCGGTGGCACGAGGGTGGGGACAGGTCTGCATCACCCTGGGATATCGCGACAGGACGGGGGTCTGTCACCCTGGGACGCCCTGACGGGGACAGGGGTCTGTCACCACAACGGGGACAGGGGTCTGTCACCTTGGGACGCCCTGACGGGGACGGGGGTCTGTCACCACGACGGGGACAGGGGTCTGTCGCCCTGGGACGCCCTGATGGGGACGGGGGTCTGTCACCCTGGGACACCCCGTCAGGAACAGGGGTGGCACCTCTGGGTCACCCCAACGGGGACAGGGGTCTGTCACCCCTGTGCCACCCCAACGGGGGTCTGTCACCCTCGGTCACCCCACTGGGGACAGGGACATGTCACCCCTGTGCCACCCCATTGGGGACAGGGCTCTGTCACTCTGTGACACCCCCGGGGGCCACCCTGGATGCACCAAACCGTGGTGACGGTGACGGGGCCAGGCCCGGCGCCATGGGGGGAGGTTGATTTTGGCTCTTTCCCCCCTCCGTGGGGCCGCGTCCCGCCCGTGGCGGCGGCACCGTCACCGCTGAGCTATGGCAACC